AATAAATTTATAGTTCATTTATTATGTGCGAAATCGAGAGTAGCACCGTTAAAGGCGACAACATTACCACGTCTGGAGCTTTCTGGTGCTCTATTATTGGCACAATTGGCACAGAAAGTATCTCAGGCATACAATTTGCATCCAGACCAGTGGTATTATTGGTCAGACTCAATGATTGTATTATCTTGGATAAGGGCACCAAGCAATAAGTGGAAAACTTTTGTGGCTAATAGAATTGCTGAAATACAAGAACTCACGAATGACAATTGGAACCATGTTGAATCTTCAAGGAATCCAGCAGACTTAATTTCTAGAGGTGTAAACGCAATTGAATTAATCAAGGCAGATATTTGGTGGAATGGTCCCACATATTTGTCACAAGACGAAGATAAATGGCCAGTTTCTAAAGACATACAGTTAATAGATGCGCCAGAAGAAAAGCAAAAGGTGCTGCGCATTCAGGTCAATGAAGAAATTCAAAGTGAAATACAGATGAACCAAAATCGAGATGGGATACATACATCAGAATTCTTTGATAGGTTTTCGTCATTTACTCGACTTATTCGAGTAACAGCATATATAATCAGATTTTATAAGAACTGTAGAGCGGGAATCCATGAAGGTCAACGAACATTGAACAACAAGAGGCACAATAAAAATAACGGGCATGAAGTTTTAAAAACCGAGGAATTGAAACTAGCAATGACACAGGTACTAAAAATGGCACAATCGCACGAATTTTCGAAGGAGATTACTGATTTAAAAAAAGGAGCTAAAATTTTAAATAATCGGCTGATTCATTTAAACCCATTTATTGATAAGGATGGTATAATGAGAGTTGGAGGTCGATTGGATAACGCGTACATTCCATTTAATCAGAAACATCCTATTATTCTTTCTGGAAATCATAGATTAACGTACTTAATAATTAATTATGAACACCAACGGTTACTACATGCAGGATGTCAAGCAGTGTTGTCATCGATAAGACGTACATATTGGCCTCTCGCAGGCAGGAATTTAGTTAAAAAGATTTTACGCCAATGTATGACTTGTTTCCGAGCAAAACCAACTGACTCTAAATACGTTATGGGCAATTTACCGACAGCTAGAGTATTACCAGCACGTCCCTTTTACAGTTGTGGAGTGGACTATGCAGGTCCTTTTTTATTGAAGGAAGGGGCTCGTGCACGTGTTTCTGTAAAATCTTATATTTGTATTTTTGTTTGCTTTGTCACTAAAGCAGTTCATATAGAGTTAGC